GGGGGGGGGGGAAAGCCGTGTGTGCCTGGAAGCGGTGTTTGATTGACTGTGCTAAAAATAGCTCTACTTCTCCACTGGAGTGATCTGCACTGGAGGAGGTCTGCAGTATTTTAGGTGGAGAATTTGCATGAAGGGCCAAAATACGGCTGGTTGCAAACAGTGCTGGAAGGCTCCATCTGAGTCACTGTGGAGCAGGAACCCAGCAAAGTTCCTCCCGGGGGCAGGAATCACACGGCTGCTGTGAGGTAGCTGGGATATCTTTGTTGCTGTGAAAGTCCCAAGACATTTTTCATAAGAACAAAATGTTTTTCCCCCACTGTTTTGTGACCTGATTTCTACATGACACTTTACATGCTGGAAGTTATAATAGGCTTGATAGCAAACCAAGCCCTCTGTCCTTCAGTAGCTTTGCTATGTGAACTGGATCCAGACAGATGCTTTGAGGGTTGAGCTGCCCATCTCAGGGTGGGTTGCAGCAGGTCTTTTTCATACTCTCGGTCCGAGTGGTTGTGAGGCAGTACTGCTGTGCGACCCTGCACAGCTGCGGCATTTCGTGGGGGAGGAGGACACAGCACCTCCCTTGCAGCACTTCCAGGATCCACTGAATGAAGGATAACAGTCATCAGGAAGGTGCCAGTTGAGTATTGTTCATCTAAAAGCATATCTGAAAATCATGTGGAAGGTCAACTAGTGTGCCACAACAGCTGACTTTTAATTGTTCAGAAGCCTTTGCAGGTTCTTGCTTGCTTCATTATAAGTGTAAAGGTGGGGATACAGCAAAGCAGTTTAACTATTACATTATTTTTACCCTTTTCGGGTCAGGACAAGAGAAGATACATTAAAAAGCTCTACTAACCTCAGGGCTGTTATATCCAGAGATGTACTCTGGATATTAGGGATATTAGATATGTTAAATGGAACTAGTGAGCAACTGACCATAAAAAATAATGTACTGATTGTAATGAGAGGGTTTTATGTTAGGGTTCACACTGTTGACTGGTAATGAGCTTTCCCGTTCCCTTTCCCGTTCCCTTTCCCGTTCCCTTTCCCGTTCCCTTTCCCGTTCCCTTTCCCTTTTTTTACAGAGGCTTAGTTCGATGTCTTACAAGTCTCGAGAGGAAGATCCATCTCTTACAGAAGATGAGGTACGTTTCTTGCACAAAATTCAGTAACTAACTAGAGACCTTTTTTCAGACAGAAATTAGCATAAACTCTGCATGATTAAGCAGGATCTAAGAAAGGTGAAATTTGTCTGAAGGGAAAATGAAAGGCGAAGTTTCTCTACACAGAGTTTGTACTGCCACATTCCTAAAATCAGAAGTATTCTAGCATATGGGCTATATCAGGCCAGTAGGTTTAAAAATTGTGTCAGAAAATAACAGGAGGCCACAATTAGCAGATAGTTAGGGCAGCTTCTTGATTTGGATGACAAACTCTACTTAAGAATAATAATCAGCAGCCTTTTGAAACATGCTATACCTTCCCCATGGCAGTGCTTGGAGCTCTGGGAAGTAAAGGGAAGCACAATAAAGGCACTGGAATATAAACTGTTCTTTAAAATGTCTCCTAGTCAAATTTAGATTGAAACAAAGATAGAAAAGTTAAACAGAATTAAGGTTGTTTGTGATCGTCTCCAATACACCCATGCAATTTATAAATAAGTTCTCTGGACATAAAAGTAAACACAAACTTGGCAATGAGCTGAGTGAGCTAATGCCTTCTGCTGGGAGAAGTGCTCCCAGACATTAATGAATAAATTGATCCGTGCACTGGGTTTATATAATTTAATCCTGGAAAAGGCTGAAGTATGGATGAGCAGAAGAGCCTTTTTTTGTTTGGTTGGCTGACATCAGTAAAAAGTAAGACGTATTGCCATCTGCAATTGGATGTCTCTCTTTATAAAAAAAAAATTAAAAAAAAATACAGAATTAACAGAAGCGATCTGGTTCATCTGCATCAATCAGTGTGGCTTAATGGTAATAGGCATTTTCATGCCAATCTACTATTTTAATTGGACTGATACAAAACCAGAGTGGCCTTGCATGCTTGGGAAAGACTTTAAATGTAACAGAAGAGCTATGCTGCAATTGCGATATTAAATACCAGACAAGCAGTGCAGAGAATTTCAGCCATCTGCCCTGTGCAAGGGGTAGCATCCACTTGGTCTGGGAGAGGGATTCAAGAGTGGCTCCCTGCGTTCAGTGCCAGCCCCAGCGAGCCCTGAGTGGAGGGACGTGTGTGGACAGTCTCCAGGACCGTGGCAAAACTTGCAAGAGCTCCTGCTCACAAAGTTATTCCCTTTTGTCTAATTTGCCTGCAGGGGATTTATGTTCAAGTAATTTTTACATTTATAAACTTAGTTTATAAAGCATTTTATAAAGCTTGGGTTTTTTGAAAGAAAATCAATTTATAAATGCATGCCAGAACAGGACTTTGTAAGAAATCCCTTTTTTTGTGTAAGCAAGTATATCTTTTTATTACAAGATCCTGTCTTTTTGTAAGTAACTGACATCCTTGTGGTGGAATGGGTACGAACTGGCATACAAGCTATATGCCATATTTAAATACTCAGCAGGTGTCTCCTTTTCCTAGATCTCAGCCATGTACTCGTCAGTGAGTAAGCCGGGACAGGCCATCAAGGCACTGGATTCTCCTTATACCTGTATTCAAGAAATTGCTTCACAGAGGTCCCCATCTATTTGCAGTGGCCTCTATGCAAGTGTGAAGGACTTTGAAAACACCCTAAATACTACCACTGTGCCTCAGTCTGTGGACAGACCAAACGGAGAGCTGGAGCCTGACTATGAAGCTATCCAGTCAGTGAGCCAAGAAGAGGACAGGACCTTGTCTGTGCCTAACACAAACCACACAGCTCTTTCAGGAGAGAATGACTATGAGAGCATAGGGGACTTGCAGCACCACAGGGATCTCACCAGACTTTAACTACTCCAGCAGGCAGATTTCTCCACTGGTGTTTTCAAAGGAACGTGTGAAACATGAAGAGAGAAGTGCTTCTCCTTTTGAGGAACAAAGCTAAGTAGAGAACAAAAGTTGTGAAGCAGCAGCGTACATTTCAGCCAGGGTGTGATACCTGCTAGATTATTCTGGGTGGTGGATGGAGGCTCACGGGAAAGGGTATGTCAGGTCAGAATGACAACCAGGACAACGTAAAGGCTTTTTTATTGTTAACTCCAAAACGACCAGAATCTGGGAAGGAGTACCACGCTTGTTGTCCCAATAGGATTACATACCAAAAAGACTGCCTTTACACAAAGCTAGCTGTTCATTTTAAGAGATTATTTTATGTCATTTCCTTCAAAGTGTTTTTCAAGCATCATTTTTCATTCAAGTTTGCGCATCCACAACGTTGAGCAAATCACGGATCACTGTACCTCAACTCAGACTTACTTTTCAGGGCTGGGGAAGACGTGCTTACTTCTGTCTTTTGGGGAGCTCTGTCCACATTCATTGCAACTAAAGTGCAAAAAACAGTACTTCACAAAGGACCTACTCCAAATGTACTTGAATTAAGTCTGTTGCTTTTTCTTTTGTTTTTAATGTCAAGGGCTGTAGAATGTGACTTGCAATATTTATGTGTACTGGTATTTGTAGGTTTTTTTGTTGGATTATTTGTGAAATACCGCTTTAAAATGGCAAGTGACACCCTTAGCGTTCTTGCTCTGTTCCTCTCACGTGCACACATATACCTACACATACACACACCAGACAATTGCCATATTGCAAAAATTTGTGCAAGTGAATGGATTGACATAATGTTTAGTCTAACCTTAATAGTGTTGAGTCATTTTTTGAAGAATTTTGTCCTTTTTTAAGACTTAAAATATTTTAATATGTTTATCTCGTTTATTATATAGGAAGATTTGTGTACTGTGTTGATTGGATGATATTTTTTATTTTTACAACATATCTTTCATCTTCAAAGTTTTTGTAGATTAACTTACTGTTTTATGTAACAGAAGGAATTCCATTCTTTGTTTGGGCTTTATTTGGTTTTCCTTTAAATTTTTTTCCTATGTCAGAACTATGTAAATGAACAATTGTTTTTGTTTTGGGGTTTTTTCGTCTTCTTAAGCAGGGATGTGGAACATGCCTTGCTGGTTTTAAGCTGAAAATAATAGAGTCTTTGTAAAAGAACACTGCCAAAGGGCAAAAAAGAGGTAGAAGAGACAGGGGGAACAGCCACTGGTCCTCCCCGTTCCTCTGCTAAAAGGAGCAGGAGGGCAACCAAGAACTTCTTGGGGCTCTGAAAAGCAGTTTGAAAACCACTGGCTTTTCAAAGATAAGTTATTCTGTTACTATTAAAAACAAAGTACAGTGCTTGGATGAAGCAAGTAGGTACTGAGCTGATACTTTGTTTTCTTCAGAAATAGTACAATTAAGAGTACAATGGTACAAGAATAGTCCGACAGTAGAGAAGTGGCACTATGTGATGTGCGTTTGTACACTGTTATGTGTACACATGTGCATATATCCCCATGTATATAAGCATGCACATGTAATTTGGACACAAGTATATAGTCCAACTTGGTAACATTCAAATACATTCACATACGTAATGTCTGGCATGTGCCTGAAGAGTAGTTTATTTTTAATTTGAAATAAACGGTATGTAAACTGAGGTTGGCTTATTCCATAGTAGCAAAAACAGGTTTAGTTTCAGTTCAGTTGGTACTGGGTTTTGATATACCAGACTGAGTCCTTCTTGGATCACTGGCCAGCGATCAACATAACTTGGTACTATAAAGAGCAAACACAAATCTGGTTAGACACATTTATTAGAAATAAGTGTACTGATTTATGGGCTTTGCCTGTAAGTAGTACAGCTCTGAGGAGCAGTGCAAGTGTGCAGTCAAATCCTGCCTGCAGGATGATTCAAACATCATGGATCCTAACCTCATGTGACAGTGCAGCACTCTTGATCTATACTCTCTTCCTTTGAGGAGAAGCAGTTCAGACCAGTGTACATCCATCTTGTTCTTGACCATGCTGCCATGCTTCCACGGCTGCAGCAAACCCTTTACTTTCACTTCATTGCAGGGCTTTTTAAAGATGACTTTGGTCTTCCTTTCTGGAGTTTTTTCCTCAAAAAAAGTTTCTATTTCTGTTCCCTTGAATGTGAATTTATGAAGTTCACCTTTGACTGTTCTCTCCTACTTCACACTTTTTAAGGCCAAAGATAAGATGCACCATGTTTCAGAAGATCTGTTGTGCTAAGTCTGGAGAATTTCTGAAGTCTTTTAACTATGTGTTTACTTTCTGTTCCTTGCTCAGGGGTACAGGTTTATATACGTAGTCCTCAGTCTGACTCCTGCAACTTAATGGCAGGCATACCTCAACTGAAATTCCCAAGATGTAGTTATCTCAAGGTGTAGTTACCCCTTAAGGATTGTCTTATTACAGGGATGACTGCTTTTAGAGAAACAGTAGCAACATGAGGTTTGTCAAGTTCACCAGATTCAATTTCAAGACCAGTTTAAAGGTAAGAGATAATGTCAGTTAATAATAGAAACAATAACACTGAACTCTTGATTATAAAAATTTAAGGTGCAAAAGAAGAAAATCAAACTTCAGTCTAGAAGTGCCCCCATTGAGATCAGTAAGTCGAAGGGGGGGGGGGAGGAGGGCTCCCTGGTCTCTCTCTGCAGTCTCAGAGCAGGATTAAGAGTGTTGGTTTGGAGGATGGGATGCAAGACTCAGCTCTTTCCTTCTTTCCTTTCCCCCATTCTGACAGCTGCTCCTTCAGACCCCTAGATTTCCCTTTTCCATAGTGAAATCCCTCCCCCTCTCTTTTTTGTTTCTATTTTTAATTGCCTCGTACAGCCTCACACTGGGAGATAGTATTATGTATGCAGTCCTGTGGTGCTGGCACATTCCTTCCCATTTAAATGATTCTCAGGCTGGTCACCACCTTTTCATCACCCACCAGTCCCTCAGCCTGGTGGGGAAGGAGCTCAGATTTTGGATTGCTGCTTGCAGGATGTGTATCTGCCCTCAGTCATGAGACCCCTTGCACGCTGGATTCTTGAGAGCTACAAAAAGGAATTACCCTTCTGAACAAGGACTCACGGGGAGTCCATAACTCCCCTACAATCTCTTATTAGATAGTCTAATGCTAAAGAAAAACGTTTTAGAATTCAGTCCAAGGTTCTTAAGTGAATAATTACATCTGTTGACAAAGAATCAAGCTTCTGTTCCCTCTTCCCAGGCATAAGATCTGTTACTTTATGGCTGTTGCCAATGATTCCTTTTCACTAATATATTGGATAGAAAGACTTTTCCAACAGTAATCCCCGAATAGATTAATGTGACTGTAAAGAAAAGGGAGTCTTTTCTGCTTGTCTCTTTATTGCTATTTTTTCCTCTCAGTATATCCCTAAATAACATGTCAACATCCAAAATGAATTATTTGTTACCTAGTGATTTTTCTGGGGAAGCTTCACAGTCTAGTTCTTTGCCTCCATTTTTTGGCACAACTATATAATAAGATCTCATATCAGATTGCCACAGTAAGGCCAAGACAAGCTGTAATGTGTGTATAAATGCACTACTGAAGAGGTCTTTTCTGATTTCCTTCTGGGAACTGGTAGAAATAAGGAATGCAGTTTGGATGTCTCTTCCTGTGGGAGCTGTTCTCACCACATACCTAAACAAGTGCTAACCCCATACGTAAACCAGTTGCCCCTTTCCACCATGATGACTGCAGAATTGCTTTCTCATTCACAGAGAGAAATAGCTTCTTTTACAGCTATCTGTAGCACAGGTGTGTACCTAATTACAACAGATTAATTATAGTGCCTTTTTTACATAGCTAGTACTTCCACATTCTTTTCCTTACCATGTTTGTTTAACTCAAAAGTACAAAGCGACAACGCAACATCGACTTGTTTAAGTTGGAAACAGCTTTATAGAGACACATTAAATGTATTGGACCTCAATTAGCCCTACAATAGCAATAGTATCTCACAAACATCATCTGAAAAGCCCAGTAATGTAGCTACGTTGACTAAGCTTTGCAATAAGAATTATCAGTCTTCTTTGGAAGAACCTAAGTTTTTCAACAGTGAGTATTCAGGGAGGTGGTGGTCATTGTCCATGTCAACTGTGAACAGTTAATTCCTTCAGTCTTTCTATTAATATCAGTTGCAGGCTTGCTTACATGCAGCAGGATCCATGGCATGTGGGATGAGTAGGTGTGGGGATTCATATTCATGAATCACTCAGAGCTGCACCATCCCCACAGTAGCAACGGCCAAGGACCAGCTGCCTTGTTCTCTAAGCCCTCGTCTATGGTGCCTTCAGGGAATCCATCCTGCAGGAATTCTTCTGGGCTACGTGCTTCTCCATGGCTCCCTGAACAGCTCCTGTCTGCTGTCTTCATCACAATTCTGTAGACGCGGTGCTCTTTGTTCAACCTTTCAATGGTGCTTTTATAAGATGCTGGAGAAACGGTTTCAGTGTGCTTTCTGAAAGCTGACAGGTAAAGCTGTGACACAGAGTGCTCTCTCTAGTATTGTCTGCTTCCCAGAATTTAGCGCTACCTGTGTTACTCTGACTACAAAAGGCTGACAGTGCTGCCCTGCCTCTGGTTCATCTCACACATAACCAGAATGGAGTCATCACATGTAACAAGGTTGGGCCACAGGTGTTTAAAAGTGCCTCGGCTTGAAAGCAGTTAGAGTCATGACTCTCCTCCATGCAGTGTGGGATTGGAAACATCACAGGGCCCAGCTCAAGGACTTTTTTCCATCTCTTACTGTGCATATACATTTGTTTGCAATATGACTGTATGAAACCTGTTTCTGCAACAAACATTTTAATTTGGGCTACACTCCAATGAGGGACTTTTGCTGTTAGGCAAATTACCAGTTATTTCAGATGAGTGTTACTTATTTAGGTTGGAATAAGGCTGTGTGCCTCACAAGTAACTCGGTGTCTGTGTAGTCTGCTGCAAAACAGGAGAATGCAGAAAGATGCTCAGCCTGACAGAAGCTTCTGTGGTGGCATGCTGAAGACCTTCAAGGGCAGCTCTTTTCCTGGGAGCTGGGGGCATAATTACTGTTAATATGATTTCATAACCTGGTGCGGAAGTTGATTTGTAGCATCTCTTTTGGGATGGTCATGGCTGAAGACGTTGCCAGAGCATATATTAAAAAAAAAAAAAAAGGATTTTTATAGCCCTTGCTAGCTTTTTATAGCCCTTGCTAGCTATCAACATATGTTGAGGATTATGCTAAAGATAACTGCTCTGGATGGAACATCACAGAAATGAAAACACAGGGTTCTCTTTCTTCAAGGAGAGAGAACTCCCTTTGGTTGGGTCAGTATGAAAGATCCCGGGCTTACAGAAAGTATTAAACAACAAAAGTATTAAACAAATTAATTGCCTAGGTGGTAGTTTTCCAGGAGTGCATTAAGGTGTCACATACACTAGACACTGTTCTTTTCCTATAGACAACAGAAAGATGAAAGCTTATTTTTAATACAAGATTCCCATTGATTAATTGATAAAACTTACTTTACATGTAAGCCAAAGGTCAGCAAGAGTGTCTACACTATGTAGATTTATTTAAGCTAACTCTAAATGTTACAGATCAGGTGTTGTAAGCAGAATCACTACAACAATTTAATGCTCTCCTTGGTCTGACCTGCTCACATAGCTAACTCCAGCACCTCAACTTCTATAGCAAATGCATGGATTCTCTTTGTATTACACACCCATTGGCATGTGCCTGGTCTACAGATAATACAAAATTTACAGTTCTGTTTTTTCAAGCTGTGAGGTGTTGTTTCTGGAGGTCTTCAGTTTCAAACGGGCCAGAAGGACAGTCACTACAAACAGCAAAGTGCCTAAAAATAAGGATGTTTCTACAAATGTGATGATGCTCACTGTTGCTACACAGCAACTTGTGTACTGCATGTGGTACTCTCTTGCCAAACACATTCCTAAATATTGGCTTTCATTTGTGATGTTCATTTATTGTTATAATAGCACAGTCTGACAAGGTTTCTGTCTCTGCAAATTCATTGTCTAATTTTAACTAGCATATGTTTGTTACAGAAAATATAAAACGAGATTGTTCAGTTTAGAGGGCAGCTATGTTATTTCTTACAGTTTATGATAATGCAACAATCTGCTTAGATGATTTACAAAGTATGTAAATATTACTTCAAAGTAAGTATGCAAGTATGACTTCAAAATCGAGATTTCAGAATGCTTCCTGCTCACTACAAGACAATGTTACCAACTCGTCATTTTAATCTTGTAACATTGGGGAGGGGGGTTTAAACCTTACAGGTCTTGTTACTTTAAAAAAAAAAAAAAAAAAAAAAAAAAAAAAAGTGCTGATGTTTTGGCTTCCTAATGTCTACGAAGAGACTCATATTTTAACTTTCAGCATAGGTTGGATTTGGACTCCCCTCTTATTTATGGAACTGCTCCTCCCCACCATGTTCAGCCATCACCATCTGAGTATCTCTTTTGTCCTTGATGATACATAGCAAGTGTCCTGAGGGCACAAAAACTGCAGCACATAACATGCCTAAATGGGACCTTTTTAATGTGCCTGTGAGATCTGGGAGCCTGGATGTAAGTCAGATGTTTTGGGGAAATCACAGCCTGTCTTGCAGACTTCTGTGGAGGTCTTCACTTTCTTTCAAGGCAATAAGTTCTGTAGCTTGCAAGCACTCAGTTGACATGGAAAGATGTATGTAGGAAGTGAACTGGTACAATGTATTACTAAAAAATCACCTAAGAGCACAAGAATCTTCTTTCTCACATGTCTGAGGACAGTGAAATTTGCTCTTCACCTCTGAGGCTATTTGAAAACAGTCACGTAACTGGTCTCCTCCTCCTCAGAACATCCTACCAGCAGACAATGAGCATCTGGATCACTCTGGTGGCTTCTGAGTTTCCACATGTACCACTTTCCAGCGAGGCCTGTGGTGATGACTACTTAGGAATGGCCCTTTGCTTCACAGTCCTGACCCCTTTCATGTAAGAAAGGGAGATGTGAGCTGCTTCTCCTCAGTCTGACTAGTCTTTCTAGATGAAAGTGTGCTAAGAGCAAACCCAGAAAAGAGCATTTACTGTTGAGGCAAGACAGGTATAGCTTACCGCAGCCGCTAGGAAGAGAGAGGTAAAAGGAACAATAGCTAAGTTCACTTGCACTTCACTTGTATCACAGACTACCTGTTCAGGAGGATTTTTACAGTAGAAGAGTCACAGTTAAGGAACAAGTTGCCAAGAATCTCACAGGTGACAGATGGAATGTTCGTTCTTCTCAGTATCCCCTATACCTGAAGAGGCAGGAACAAGTCGTCTCTGCCCCACCATGACTCAGTTTGCTGATCTTTTATCAAGCCTCCATATCAACAGAAATGAAATTAATAAATAAATTATAAATACATGGTTTTGTTCTATCATAAACCCCAAATGGACAAATGTAGATGCACTAATGTAAGTACCATATGCAGATCTGGACTTGCACAGGTAGTTCTTAAGTAAAAAAAACCCCAAACCTGGATTACTTTATTTAAATAGAATTATTTGCATGAGACAAGGGTGCATGATTGGACCCCAAGACAAAGTTTAGAAGAAGTTTGGTTTGGTGCTAGGGTGGGGTTTTTTTGGTATTTTCAGTGAAATATATTTGCTTTCTTTTATGTTAGTGAATTAATATGGCTTCCATAGGAACAAAAAATAGCCTGGTATATGGATAATTATCTCTAATAGCTATTATTAAAATCATGCCTCAGTAGGAGTCATTTTAAACTGGGTGCTATAGGATATTCAGCATAAAATTGCATACTTAGAACTTAGTGGATAAATATTTGTAATTACAGACACTTTCATTTATTTTATCCATTGTTTTATAATGGAATAAAATATTTATTACTGGAATGATTTTCCATCAATGTTCTCTTACATAATGTTTTAGCAACAAACTGTTTTCTGGACAACCATTTGATTCTCTGGTTACTGCAGAACTGCAAATCATCCTCAAACCAGTATGAGCTTCTGAAAAGAGAGAATTAGAACTGTCTCTGGCTATCTTAGTATGGATACAGTTAAATATACTGTGTAGTTCAGATCTGTAGGCAGTGAGAGCAGTTCAAAGAAATTAACTATATAAACCTGGAGTCAGTGCATGCAGACTTCTGAGATGGCACTAGTTGAGGCTTGTTTGCTACGTGATGGGTTATTTGGCTTGCTACCTGTTTGAAATCTATATAGTTTTATTAATACCACTGCAGACACTGAAATACTTTAGTTTTGCAGAACGTATGTTCCTAAGTTGTAGCTTGACTGTAACTGCAGGGCTTATCCTACTGTTAGAGCAGTTCAGATCCAACACAAATCTAAGTTGCATTTTGTAAATTGAAAAATGCCATGAAATTCCTCTTGACATTTTTGTAGTAGTATACACAAGATGATGTAATTTAGTCATGCTATTATTCCAAGAATCTTCATCTGATGTTTCTAGCCAATTCAGCTTTTGGCTGCTGAAAGCACAGTAGGTAATTATGGTTATTTACTGTAAATGTGGACAAGATTTATGTAAATATTCCAGGGGGGAAAAAATGCTACATAAACATATGAGGCAGTTATCTAAAAGTAAGAACATAGGTCAATAATATAAAATACAGGTTTTATTTATGTACAGTAGTATCCTAATATTTACTTGTTTATATGCAGAAAAAGTCTTAAGATTCTGTACTGTATTCTCTGAAAGCTTTTAAAAGAGGCTCTGCCATTTTCTCTGGTTAATATATTTGCAAATAACTTTTGAATTTATTGGAAATCCATGTAAATGGTGTCAAATGGGAAACATTACATTGCAGTTAATTTAATTCAAAAATTCTGGCAAAATTAATTGGGTTGAAATCTATATATAAATTCAATAGCCAGACAGAATAAAACACAATAAATAAGCTTTGTCTTCTGTTTTGGTTTGTTTGTGGTTTTTAACCTGTGCCTCTTCCTGTTGTTTTCTTAACGAATATTTTATTCAGTCCTTGTAGTCACTTCCTCCTGCAGCTCCTAAAATCTGCATTATTTGATAGAATTTTGTTTGTTCTGGGCATTTTGTGCTGATTTCATTATCTGACAAGAACTATTAAGTCTTCTTTGTGTTATATAGCACCTTACTCCTCCCAAAGCCACAATCCTGTCAAGATTCAAGCATGCATACAACAGCGTCAGTTTTAGAGTTGTCTTTAGACTTAAGCAGGAACTCCCATTAATATGCTGGTACTATGCTCTTTAATGCAGGTAAGAATATTGGTTCTGAGCCTTTGAAAGTTGTGCAGCTTTCAGTATTTTTAAAGGACTGCAATTACCAGCCTTATGGATTATCTTCTGAAATTGCCATGGCATTCGATTCCTTTTTCTTTGCTAAAGATGCTCTCTACATAATGTTTCCCAGACATTTGCTGCACTTTTCTGTCAAAGGCAAGACTCTAATTTGTGTAGAAATACTTTGAGAACATCCTGAAGCATTTCAGAGGCAGCTGAGTTAGGACCACAGATGAATATGTAACACAAATTCTGCACGTAAGTCTCACAGAAGGAAATGTCATCTTTTAAGCATGCCACTGGAGCAAGGAATCTTTGCACACTACAGCATGAGGTTGAAATGGTACCTAGCCTGATGGGACTTGCATTCTCCATGAGTTGCACCTTCCTCCTCATTATCTTTAATTACAAATAAGAGAAGAGCAACTTTACTGATTTAATACCAAGTTGTTTCTGATTAACAGGTTCCAGGAAAATTCACAGTGCAGCCACGGATTACTTATGCTGATCTCAGAGACTGAAAAAATAAGACTGGAGCAGGCAAATAGTCTCTGTTCACTGTCAAAGTGATGGCACTTTGATGTTTATCTGGGTAAGTATATTTAAATACTTGAAGATATAAGGTTATAGGTCAAATAGGGGACTTGTAAAAGTAAGGAAAATTTAATGTGAAAAACCATTCAGAATCTGATAGTTTAAAAGAAAACTGCTTTTTACTAAACATTTGTTCATGGACCAAGAAGGTGCAAAATATGTAATTCAATATAATTTTTTATGAAGTAACTGCTGAATATTACCCAATAAAGGCTGCTCTTCTGAAAAAAAAATGCTTGCATAATTATTATCAAGAGAACTGTATCACAGATGTTTTTTTTTCATTCTTCATTCTGAAAAGTTGCTGTCAGCCATAAAATAGTTCTATGTCAATGACCAGCTGGAGTGCATGGAGCTCTGCCTGGGGAGGGATGCAGAGCCGACCAAGAGCTTACAGATCAGGATTAAAGAGAAGGCAGGGACAGAAGACCTTACAGTGAGGTGTGCTACAGGCCACCCAACCAGGAAAACTTTGCAGATGAAGCCCTCTACAGACAGATAGAAGCAGCCTCATGTTCATGGGCCCTGGTCCTCATGGGGGACATCAACTGTCCCAATATCTGTTGGAAGGACAACACAGCAGGGTATAAGCAATCCATTAAGGATCCTGGAATGGTTTGATGGTAACTTCCTTCTCCAAGTGACAGAGGAGCCAACGAGGAGAGGTGCTATGCTGGACCTTGTTTTCACGAATGAGGAGGTGCTGGTGGGCAGTGTGAAGCTCAAAGGCAGCCTTGGCTGCAGTGACCATGAAATGGCAGAGTTCAAGATCCTTACGGCAGCAAGGAGGGTGCACAGCAAGCTTGCTAACCTGGACTTCAGGAGAACAAACTTTGGCCTTTTCAGGGATCTGCTTGGCCCTAGAGGGAAGAGGCATAAAGCCCTAGAGGGAGAGGGAAGAGGGGCCCAAGAAAACTGGCTAATATTCAAGGATGACCTCCTCCAAGCTCAGGAGTGATGCATCCCAACAAAGAGGAAGACAGGAAAGAACATCAGAAGACCTGCATGGATGAACAAGGAGCTCTGGAACAAACTCAGACATAAAAAAGAAGCCTACAGAGGGTGGAAGTGAGCCTGGGGAGAATACAGACAAATTGTTGGAGCAGCCAGGGATTGGGTTAGGAAGGCCAAAGCCCTGATAGAATTAATCTGGCCAGGGACATCAAGGGCAACAAGAAAAGCTTCTTTAGGTACATCAGGGACAAAAGGATGACTAGGGAAAATGTGGGTCCTCTTCGGAAGGAAAAGGGAGATTTGGTCACCTGGGATATGGAGAAGGCTGAGGTACTCAATGACTTTTTTGCCTCAGTCTTCACTGGCAAGTGCTCCAGTCACACTGACCAAGGCACAGAAGGTAAAGGTGGGGACTGGGAGAAGGAAGCACCACCCACTGTAGAAGAAGATCAGGTTTGAGACGA